CTCTCATAAAAGCAAACACCACAGCAGCAGCCATTCAAGCCACAGTCGACACAGACGCTGAGTGTTTTCTTGTTACACGTCTGCGAGACTGCGAGTTCGTTTGTGTTCGATTTAAGTGGTCAACATTGACCTAGTTGTCTGTTTTACTTTATTGATTTCTTTTGTGTTATTTTGGTGTTTTAGTTTTAAATGTTGAAAGGATATGAAACTACATATTTACAGTGTAAAGATGGGTTCAATGTTGATGTAATATGGGAAATGCTTTGATTTATAAAAGCAAAGGTGGGAAAATCAATAGTTACATAGAAAAACGGAAAATGTTTTCAGGAAAGACAACGATACTTTGCACAGATATAGGAATAATAAATAAAGATGCTCTGCTGATGGATGAAAATTGGTTACTCTGAAAATAGATCATATTTTTTTACAGCTGGATGCAGACTTTTTTTTTTGGGATCATGGTGACTTTGTTGCACTGGTTTTTAGTCTGCACGTCTTCAATGTCTGATTTTTACTCAATAAAAAGTGACTTATTCCTACTGTCAGTTGTTGCTTTTTACTCCGTTATGGAACTTGGTTCTATGAATTGAAAATGTCTTGCTCTGACACACAAATCCCATGAGACTTTAAGACCAAACCTGTTATCACAAAATTATATTTATCACACCAGCACAAACGGCTAATATCTGGAGCTGTGGTGTTAAACATTTTGATTGATTTTAGTATATCGGCTTGTCATAAATGTTGTTTTTTTCTCTCTTATATGTAGGAGAAACCTGTTCATTCTAGTGAATCTTCTGTTTGAGGGAGGGGTCTAGAACACAAATTCAACTGCGGGTCAATCTGGTACATAGGACTAGAATCCCTTCATACTGGCCACTTTCTCTTGTTTACTGATGCCTCTTATGAGTGATTCCTTCTCAGTCAAACCTTTCCACATCAGGCTTGTTGATCATTGCTCAGTGTATTTCATGCAGGTAGCATCTGAAGACCAGGATATGGTTTTGGTGTTTTGTTTTTGAATTAAGCAGGGTTTAAAAAAAACAGCTGAGTAAATTATTCAGTGACTCAGTGATCAGAATATCTCATTCATAGTGAGTCCCATTCACTAATAATTGTGTAGTTGCAGGATTTACTTTACTCTGCTTTAGGCTACATTAGCCTAACATGATAATTCATACATATATCAAGTAACACTGCTAAATTAAAGACAGACAAACAGATCCAACTAAAATCACGTTTTATTGAGTCAGCAGTTATATACAAACAATAAGGAAAGCGTTGCAGTAGCAGACCACATCACCAATCTGGCTTTCTGCCTCTGGTATGCGCGCGCACCCTGTAATGTTTGTAAACAGGAAACCATAGACAGTAAAAGAAACAGGAAACCCGAGTATAGATCAGTGGTCGCCATCTACTGGCGTAAAGAGTCACTGAGAAAAGAAAAAGACACATTTTCAGTGCGATAAACATTTTAATTTGAATGAACGGCTATTATACTCTGTTAGACCAACACAAACATTTGCATGTCGTCAGTTTTATGTTTTATCCATGGAAAGGTTCAGAGAAAAACAGTATAAAAAATAAATACATTTTATTAAAACAAAAAATGATTTTAAAGATATACTTACAGTATAGTAATAGTAATGTTCACGGTATAAATTGGTCATATAACTATATAGCTGCCTATTCAGTTTTATGATGAGTTTCCCTCGCATGAGAATGATCATATTTGAAATTTGACCTTACCCTGTAAGACCCGTGGTGGTAAAATTACAACATCACTTTTAGCTCTTCCAAAAACACATCTGCAAGTTTTTTTTTCTTTTTTCGAAAGACCAAATTTACATGGGTCCTATTGTTTAGCCTCGCAATGTCATTGGATGGTAAATGTGTGTATAGGTCTTGCCATGTGGCCATGAACTCATTCAACCTGTAAACTTTCCTGGAAGCGTATATCCTTGTTTCATTGGACTGGATATCTCAACATTGAAGTAAGTAAAACCCCAGAAATATATTTTTTGTGTGTGATTATTATGTCTAGTTCATGTAAATACTTGGTTATTGTGGAATGCATGCATTAAATTGGATTTTTTAGCTTGTTATGTCTTTGTTGATTTCTTTCAACGTTGGTAGAGAATGGTAGTCAAAATAGCACGTGCAACTTGCACATTACATGGAGACATGGCACCTCTCAAATGTTCACATATAGGAGAAATACTTACAGAAATATAATGTATTTGATTATTCACAATTTCTAAATGTGTTATTTGTTATAATTTTTCAGTTTATATCAGATTTGAATCATTCTAAATGAATAAATAATTTCTGGTTGCAGTGTTTTAAGTCCTCTCAGTACCAGTATTTGAAATTGTTCCTGTAGCAGTAAAATATAGTTAACTGTTTTTTTGTTGTTGTTGTTTGCTCAAACATCTGCTTGTTGCAAGGCAGACACTGTTTGTGGAATGCTTTCGAGGATGGTTATTCAAGGCCATGTGTGAATGTCCAGACATATAGGGGGTTGCATGGTTCATTGTTCAGGGACAGGTGCTAGTGTTCTGGAATGTGGGGATGTGAGAGGTCTGGGGGTTTGTATGTTCCTTTTCGAATTGTGTGACTTCAGTGGAATGTATCACATCAATAGGATTCATTTACATTTAAATGATTTATACTTGAACTCTTACAACTATTATTTTCATTTAAGAATGACATCCGCAAGAGGCTCCCACAGCGTGTATGATGTTATTGCTGCTGTCCAAAATGGAGAGAGTGATGTTGAAATGGAATCGGACACCAGTGATTCGAGTGATGAGGAGGGGGTTGAAAATGTTGATGAAGTGGAGAAAGAGAATCAGACACCCACTGATTGTCCAGCTGCTGACGATGAGGACATCGAGCCAAGCCAACCAGCTAAACTGACAATGCCCCGGGACCGGTATCGCTGGATGAAAAAGAATTTAATCAGTCCTAATACTGATTTCTCTGGTCCGGACGTCACCAGTGGTGCTGTTTCCTTCCAGACACAACTGGAGTACTTTCAGAGGTTTGTGTCAGAAGACATGATTCAAACTCTGAGAGAAAACACTAATCAGTACAGCTATCAAAAGACTGGAACAACTATAAACGCAGACCACTAAGATCTGGTCCACAAACTATGAGCTGGCTTAAGCTGGTTGTTGAATGCCAGACTGGTCCACAGCTTGTAAACTGGCTTGGGCTAGTTGTTGGATGCCAGACTGGACCACAGATTATAAGCTGACTTGGGCTGGTTGTTGGATACTAGACTGGTTTGCCGATTATGAGCTAGCATGGGCTGGTTGTTAAATGCCAGACTGGACTGATGATTCCTTTCAAGGGGAAATTCAGTGCCATTAAGCAGCGAGGCAAACCTCAGCCATGGGGCTTCAAATTGTGGGTAAGAACAGGAATCTCTGGCATGCTCTGTGACTTTGATGTGTGCCAAGGCAGTGTTGATGGAAAAAAAGCCAAATGAGAACTTGGAATGTCAGGTGATGTTGTGATGAAGCTTGCCTCCACACTTCCAGAAGGTCAGAACTACAAGGTCTACCCAGACAACTTCTTCACCTGTGTCCCATTAGTAGTTCAGCTCCTTGATCGTGGAATTCATTATGTGGGAACATTCAGGCAAGAGCGCTTACCCAACTGTAACCTTGAAGATGAGAAGATCTTGAAGAAAAAGAGGAGAGGAAGCTTTGACATCAGAGTAGAGGCAAACCACAACATCTGTGCTGTCAAATGGTATGACAACAGGGCAGTCACACTTGTGTCATCCTTTGCTGGGACAGAACCTGTCCAAAAGATTCAATGCTGAAACAAAGCCACCAAATCCTACATTGAAGTTGAGAGACCTTACATTGTGGGTGCATACAACAAATACATGGGCGGTGTGGATTTGTTGGACTCATTTGCAGCCAAATACAAGTTCCCCATGAAAACGCGCCACTGGTACATTTACATCTTCTGGCACACCATTATCCTTGCTGTTATCAACGCCTGGCTCCTTTACAAACGGGACTGCAAAGCTCTCAATATTCCCAAGAAAAAGATGCTAAACAGGAGGCTGTTTCAAGGGCAGCTAGCATCCTCTCTCATCCTGGTAAGAATCCATTTCTGCTCTTTACCACATTTAATATTTGACTGATTATACCGTTTTTAATGTATGTTTGACATCGCAATTGATTCTTTTCTAATCGAATTCAGACAAACACAGCCGTTACCACACCAAGGAGAGGGCGGACATCTTCAGCCAGTAGGAGCCCTCTGACGTCCATAACAGTGACACCTCAGAAACCTGTGACTGCTCAGAGAAGACCCTCCTTAGGTCCACCAAATGAGGTCCCAGCCAAGAGTTGCAGGAAGTGCAATCTCCGTCTCTGCTTTTCAGAGGAAAGGAACTGCTTTTGGGACTACCATTGCAGTGAACACTGGACAATGTTTCTTTGACAGTTTTCAATCTGTTTTGTATTTAATATTTATATTTTGTTTATTTTTAATACATTTTAATGAATACAAATATGACTGTTGGGTGATTATTATTATTATTCATGATATTTACTGTTATGGTGCTATGCAAGCAATCCGCACTTCAAATGAGCCCTTAGTTGTTCTGTATATTTGTTCTGACAGTGTGAGTGCAAATGATGAAATTCGGCTCCCAAATAGGCCCAATTTCGCTTAAGAATTTCCTTAAAAACTTACTAAAACATAATTTAAAAATAAAAATCCTTCATTATTTGCATCAGAGCAGAGGCCTCCTACAACAACATCTGACAGGTGCATTTTTTTCTTTCTTTTTTTTCTATATTTGGGTCTTACAGGGTTAAAAGATTAAAAGATCCAGATTTTTGACCTTTAAAAGATTTGACATTTTAAAGATTGAAAACCTCGGTTCTAGTCATAGAGTGTAAATGCACAAAATAACAGCCTGTCTGAAGCACGCGAACTGATGATGAGAGCTTTTAATTTGACAGGCTGCATTTATGTATTTAATGCGGGAGTTTCCTGTTAGCTTCAGAGGTTTTGCGAGCAGATTGTGCGGGATGGAAACGCGGTGTTTAAGTCTTCTACTGGTCTGTGTGCTGTCAGTGTGTCATGCTACAGCCGAGAATGCCAGCGTTAAAAAGATGAAAATGCAATATACTGGAATGCCACTGCTGAAGTTTCAGATTTGGTAAGCAAATGGAATGTGCTTCCGTTTCCTGTCAGTGCGCGTGCTGATCAGTGTCATGTGTTGATGAAGCAACTTAATCTAAACTGAAATTATGTACATCAGTAAATGCACTAAATTTGGATCATGTATGTTTCCTATTAGTTTTCTATGTCTAGCTGAGCGTAATTGCCCCGTAGCCTATATATCAATGCAAAAATCATTAAAAAAAAAACAAAAACATGTAACGTTAACTGAATAATTACCATTTTAATATGTATAGTATACATAGTGTTTTATATGACATTACTCTCCTTGGTCATTCAGGACAAAACAACAAAAACGCCTTATAGCATTAGGAATTCATATTTTTGTACCGTTAGCAAACGGAAGTAGGCTAACGTTTTATAGCACACAATTAACCCTTAGGCCTACGAATATTAACCATGGTTTTACTACAGTAGTAACCATGATTTAACTATGATTTTTTTTTATATATTTTTTTTGCAGTAAAACCATAGCAGCTACAAAATTAACCATGGTTAACTATGGTTTTGTAGTAAAACCATGATAAACACAAAACTACATATGTTTTACAATAGTAAGTGTACTTTTGTCGCTCAACTTTGTTGTTAGGTATGGAAACTTGTTTTCACAATGGAATAAAAAAAGGTAGTTGTTTGTTGTTACTTTTTATTTTACAATTCTGACTTCTGCTTCGCAGTTGTGAGTTTATATCCAACAATTCTGACTTTTTTCTCAGAACTGTGAGATATAAAGAATAAACAATTAAGATATAAACAATTGTGAGTCTGAATTGTGAGGTAAAATGTTTTACCTTTTTATTTTTTATTCTGTGGCAGAAATAAGCTTTCATAATTATGCGAGCATATTATGTGAACCAGTTTATTGGTTTATTTTTCCTCGGTGGGTCAGTTCCTTAATTCAATGCGTCTCAATTTGCAGCGTGTCCTGAGGGTACAGGCGGGTGTTTGAAGAGTACTCCCGGGTTCTCACCCAGAGGTACCCAGACATCCGCATCGAGGGAAAAAACTTCCTGCCACAGCCTATATACAGGTGGGTTATTCTCACGCCTTAGACATTTTGTTTTGCAGACCATACAAATTCATGGTAGTCTGTGACTTCAACTCATAAACTTGTCTTTTTTTTTTTTTTTTTTAGGCACATAGCTTCCTTCCTCTCTGTCTTCAAATTTGTAGTGATTGGTTTAATTATCCTGGGCAAGGACCCTTTCACATTTTTCCATACGGAGACTCCAGGAATCTGGCTTTGGGCACAAGAGAATAAGGTCAGTGAGGGGCATTTTTGGAGTGCATATCAATTCCTGTTGAAAAAAAGTCACATTATATTTGGGAATATAGTAAGTCTCATTTACTAATAATTGCGTAGTTGGGGGATATCCCTGCCTCTGCTTTTGATATCCACCCTTCTGGTAGTTTATTTTTTCATTCCCATTAAAGAGACGTTTTGTAATCCGCTTTTTTTTTTCATTTCATTTTTTCCGTTTTTAATTTGTCTGGATTCTGTTCAGTTTTGAACATATAGGGTATATATCTCAGATAAATTTAAAATATAGTATCAGTTTTGTGTAAGTGTGGTTTCAGTTGTTTCTACATTTTTTTCCCCCCAAAAGTTTGTATGTTGTGTTCACGCACAGTCTTACCCCATAAGAACCTTTGAAAACAATGTAATAGAATTAAACATTTAGTTCATTAATTGAATGTTTGGGAAATCTGTTATTCAGTCAGTTCTGTTTGGTGATGCTAGTGATTCAGAAATTACAGTTCCCACGTGAAATGTTGCCTACTTACATGTGTTTGTGACCTCAGTTTGTTGTGTTTTTATAGATATATGCCTGCATGATGGTGTTCTTCCTCAGCAACATGATTGAAAACCAGTGCATGTCCTCTGGCGCCTTTGAAATCACACTTAATGGTAGGACTGATGATTGATAAATGATCAAAATACTGATTTCACACTACATGATGTTTAATACTAGTCATTTTTACTTTGCCTGTGTGTTTATGCGCTCACAGATGTGCCTGTATGGTCAAAGCTGGAGTCAGGCCACCTACCCTCCATGCAGCAGCTGTTGCAGATTCTGGAGAATGAGATGAAGCTGAGCGTACACATGGACTCTCTCCCCCACAGACGGGCGTAAGGCTGCAGGAACTGAACAGACCGGCTGTGACTTGTGGGTAGCCGGATGGTTTTTACGCCACCGTGAATATAGTGGTGCAGGGATGATGTGTTTCTGTAGGCCAAAACCCGGTTTTGGGTTAGCATTTTAGCACTTCTGGTTCCATCGTCCCGAAGTCAATGTTTTTTTTGTTTTTTTTGTTAAAAACCTGAAATAAGGTCTGTGGTGAACACAAGCTCAAGATATTTTCATGTTTTATTCTAAGACATAAAACACACCAGTAATACCCCACTTGTGATTTTTTTTAAAAAAAATTTTAAGCCTTTACATTTCTTGAAAGTGGTCGCTAACAAGTGTGGGACTACAGAGGACATTAAACTTCATCACACAGACCAGTAAATTCATAATTGGCTCTTGAAAAATATTCTAACTCAAACTTTCAGGGAAAATGTTTTTTTTTATTTTTTTTTATGAAGACTGAAAGAGCTGTCAGAAGCTTAAAGGGATACTCCACCCAAAAAATTCTGTCATCATTTACTCATTTAGCAAACCTGTATTAGTTTCTTTCGTCTGCTGAACACAAAGGAAGATATTTTGAAGAACGATTGGAACCAAACAGTTGTTTGGCACCATTGACTTCCATAGTAGAAAAAATATATATTATGGAAGTCAATGGTGCCAAAGTTCCAATCGCTCTCCAAAATATCTTCCTTTGTGTTCAGCAGAAGAAAGAAACTCATACAGGTTTGCAACAACTTGAGGGTGAGTAAATGATGACAGATTTTAATTTTTTGGTGGAGTATCCCTTTAATGGTGGTGACGTGGAAGTCTAGCCTACGTTTGTCTTGTATTTAGGCTCCAAAATTCCTAAAAGATGTGCTCATTTGTGAAAATTATCTTGATCCTTTATTTGTTGATCACAGAGCTTATTTTTTTGCAATAATTCAAAACCCTATGGAAAACCCTATTGGGTTTTTGTCAAAGTAACCAGGGTGATGCTGATTGCTTGTTTATCTACAAAAATGCATAATCCCTGCACCACTCTATTAAGATCAAAGATCTTTGAATGTGTCCAAAATAATACATTGTGATTTTAGTCACTATGAAATCAAAATTGACAATTCTTTTTTTTAAATTTTTTTATGGAATATTGCAGTATTTATTATAAATTACTTATCTGTGGACATACTTTTTTTTATTATTATTCATGTGCCTTCCTAATCTTTAATCAAAATAACTTGCAGCGAGATCTCTTCTCTGATGATGATAGTGTTTACTGGCGAGTAATTTTTTTTTTTATAACACTTTTCACTCAGATATACATCACAACAGGGAAGAAAAGACTATCGCAACTTCCATTTCATGCTGACTTTAAGAATATTCTGTAAATTCAGAACTCCAGATTGTTTTGAACCTCATACAACACTTCTCTGTTCCCCCTCTTTATAACTTTTTCTCCAGGTGTGTGATGTGAGCCATTGGTGTGTGAGACGGCATTAATGAAGGTTTGCACTGAATGCAGTGTGTCTGCTAGTGCAGGCTGGATGTCCAGTCCCTCTCGCTGCTCCATGAGTCTGCTGTACACACAGCCGCTCTGCAGTCTTCGGCCAATAAGAACATGTCCTGTTAAGTGGATCAAATTGGTGTCAAATACAGTGTTTTACCTGTTTTCAGGTGTATGCAGGAAGTAGACTGCTGTATTAATTACTGAAATCAGTTTTCAAAGTATTGGCGTTATTGGGAAATTCAAACTTTTTGTAATGTGTTCAGAACTACAAACTGTATTTGATTTTGCTCACTCATTTTATTGCGCCTTTCATCTCTCTTTATATGATCATATGCCAATTTATTCATTCCACTGATGTTTATGATGATTGCAATGTACGTTCTAGACAACGGTATTCTTTAAAAAACAGTTCTGTAAATGTGTCCAATAATGTACATATCATGAAGGATATACTTTAATAGAGTTTGATTTTTTTTAAAATCATATTTAATATTTGTTTATAATGTGTTTTGAATAAAGTCAATCAATGATGGATGTGTAAACAATTGGTACCATTTTTTTAAATTGGAAAACTTGCCTTCCATAAGAGGACTATCGCTCGGTGGCTCAGAATGCACCTTTGATCGGCATTTCTTTTTCAGGATGTATTTTTCTTTCCTTTACCATTTGTGCATTAAGCGGTGAAATATATTAAACCTATTAATTATAAGGCTTGGCAATGGCATCCGAAACCCAAATGGAAATACTAAAACGATTAAATAAAACGAGTATAGGTATTAGAAACGGCTGTGATTGGTTCATCTTAAAGAGCGAAGAGAAAAGTAACAGATCCCACATGAAAAAGCGGCTAATCACATCAACGGCTTTTTCGAGGGAGATTGCGTGTAACTTATTTTTATTATTATCATAATATATTATTTATATTATATCACCAATTGCTTGCCATGTAAATCTATTTTAAACCATGCCAGTAAAGCGAATTCTGACATGTAACTTTTAGGGGACCATTAGATGGCGCCAGCTGTTCTGTTTATTCAAACAGAGATTGTGGTCACATGGTATGCGATCAATGCATGCGAAGGAAGTTGTGTGAATACACGTGTTGTGAATCGCTATTTGACAATGATGTTTTTATAGTGAATTTATAATGTAAAAGTCTTGCAGCAGATGAAAGTACTGAAATAACATTCGTTTTCAGGCAGCGCGAGGTAAACGTGACCCTAGCATAGTTCATTTTGAAATATCTGTGCCATCACTGCAGTCATGTTACTTTAATTTTCTTCTTGAGGGTGAACCGAGATATCGTATTTACTGTTATAATTCGTAGTGCCGATACAAAATGTCTTGGTAAATGCTCTTTAGAGCGGAGGCACAGCGTACACATAATGTGTTGAGTCCAGGTGTGTTTTGGAAGAGTAATGGATGGGCATCCTGCGGAGATGAATATGCCACAATCATCATCAAGTATTGAAGTAAAGGATGATATGGATACCAGAAGTGAAAGTGAGAATCAGCCAGCAGGAGATGCTTTGGTGGACATCAGCTTTTGTGGATCCACTCCTCTGTTGTGGAAGGTCTCGGACATGAAACGGTGCAGGTCTGTGGGTGTGACCGGGGCTCTGGTGGGCTCTCTGGCCCGTCAGCCTCGGCAGAACGTGCGGCTGGGACGACCTCTGGAGCTCCTGCAGGAGGAGGCGCTGCTGCTGGAGGAGACGAGCACTGGTGTCGCTTCACTGCACACTCAGGTGTCACACTACACTACTACAGCCACATATCTATCTATCTATCTATCTATCTATCTATCTATCTATCTATCTATCTATCTATCTATCTATCTATCTATCTATCTATCTATCTATCTATCTATCTATCTAAAGCGGATTTACAGCCAAAGAACCAGAATGATTAATTAGGACAAGAGTCAGAATTATAATAAATTAAAGAAAAGTTTTACTGAAGATAGTTTGCAGTTTCATCAGGCAGAAGTCAGCTTCAAGACTCTCACAGGAGTTCGGAGGCCGCCCCGTTACAGTTACAAAGATCACATCAATTATACCCTACACCAAGGTCTACGTCCTTGCTTCAGGTTGAATCATTCTCATTGGCTAAGAAATAGATAAACATTGTAATTTTCCACACATATACAGATAGATTGAAGCATATCTCCATCGATTATGCAGCTGACACTCAGACCCTGAAGTTAGGCACGTCGTGACTCGTGACCTTCCAGGTCGCAGATTTGGGTTGCTGGGAGGCGGACACCAGCATGTCCAGAACAACAACTCAGTCAATCTCCAATAATAGCAGTGGTTCCTTAACCTGAAACTAAGCACCGACACAGCTTTTCCAAGGTTGGATTTGGCCAGGCTCTAACTATAAACAGGAGAGTCGTCTCAAAACATCAAGATAATACGTTCTTTCTCTAAAGGAAATAACACTTTAATCTAACACAGTAAAGTAAAGACTTTAGCTATGAAATGGTCTCTCAAACTATTGATTCCAATGACCCTTATATGTTTTAACACATGTTGAATACCTTTCTCAAACAAAACGAGTCCATATTTCATTTCTGGAAGCCGGGCTTTTTGATAGTATCTATCTATCTATCTCTCTGTGACTTTTTATGTGAGTGTATGTATGTGCTATTATTTTCATCAGGATTGTGGAGATGAAGAGATGCATTCAGCGGCTGTGAGGCAGTATGAGGCAGGTCTGGAGAGCAGTTATAAGGAACAGTGTGCTCTGGCCCTGGAGGACAAGAAGACCGTGCTGAAGAAAATCATCAATGAGAAAGAGAATGGTGAGAGAGAGATGCATACCTCATTACATGTCCATTTTACTTCACCTGTTCGCCAAATCATTTCAGTTATTTCAAAAGTCCTTACAGCCTACAACAGCAAAGGAACCAAAACCCACTTCGACACTGGCCAAGCACAGAAATATAGTGAACAATAGGATTAAAAACGACAAATTATTTCCATGTTTTTTTGCCACAAAGTAATGTTTTATAATGTACGGAATGCACATACTCTTTGTCTCCCGCTCTCCCACTCACTTGCGCACACACACACATACAGTACGGGCACACACTCACACAGAAACGTGTTGTCAGTGCTTCTTCGATGATTTTATCAGTAAATTAGTTTAGTAACTTAAAATCTACATTACATTTCTCAGTGAGGTCATGGGCTCTGTTCTTGAGGCAGATAAACTTACAGTTTCACTATTAGTAGAGACACTGCTGCCGAACACTGTTGAGAGACGCACAAACTCAGGTAATTCACACACTTTATCTCTTTCTCTCTCTCTAATAATTGCATTAATAACTGCATCAGTCTGTTATCAATGGCTCAAGCCTCTGTTACTAGCTCTAAAATTATGTTTTGGAATCACTAGCAATGGAGGCATGGGATGAGATGCGTAAGAAATTAGCCCTACACACAAGTCAATTCACCTTTATTTATATAGCGCTTTTTACAATACAGATTGTCTCAAAGCGGCTTTACAGAGATAACAGGAAAATAATGCTACAAAGTTTATTTCTAGAAGAAAATAGCGTCACTGCACACCTGTGTTTTAAGGACAAAAACCTGACAAATATCTTGAAATACAACATCTGAACAATGTCTTTTGGCGTGGTAACCATAGTATAAGCGGAATAATTGACGACAGGCCATTCAATTATTAGAAAATAACGCACAACCCATTCAAAGGCCCTTCGTCAATTATTCCTTACATTTGTTTTTTAAAAAGTGCAGTTACAGTTGAAGTTTAAGGGGCTTAAAATAAACATTAAAATGTTTTTTTTAACTACGATTCACTTTTAATGATTATCACTTTTCACTACACATATGGTTTCAAATTTCTGTGTAATGTAATATTTTGAGATTCATTAAACCCTTTTTAGTAAAATTGATTGATCAGCTGACAAGCGAATAGTAGTACATTACCAGGATACTGCAAATAATGCGCTTGACCTATTTTTATTTCCTAACTGTTATAATTGCTCCAAGCCTCACAAATAAAAAAAAATTAAATGTTTTCAAGTTTATTTTAAGGCATCAAAACTTTAAACATCAGAAGAAAAGTATTGGACATTTGACAGTTTGTCCCACAACTGTGTTAAAGTAGTAAAAACAAAAACATCCTCAGGGCTCAACACTAAGCCCCTGCCACAGAAATGAATGAATAAATACAAAATATTGTTTTTGACCCATGTAACCTTGTATTCTAACAAATAAGGGTATGACACCAGTGACATTTTTTCAATTCTTGATTACAATTTCGATACCACAGCAAAAACGACTAGCCAAACTAATATAAATATTCAAACATTAAAGGCAAGTAAACAGACAGTAATAAAAAAAAAAAAAAAAAAAAAAAAAAAAAAAATGAATTGCATGCATTAGCTCTAATACATGCAACAGTACAGAAATAAGACCGTAATTGAGTTAAGTTATTAAATGCAAAATAACACTGCATGATCTTCACTGTATAAATGAAATGTAGATTAATCTTTATTAAAGCCACATAAGTTATTTAGTCAAGAGCAGGGTGATTAACAAATGTTAAACTAATATTAGTTAGCCAGAATATTAGGCTGCTGTCACTTTAAGACTGAATGGACAGCTTTAATAATTTACTGACACACATCAGATTTTCTCTCAGTAGTTGATGTTCACTTAAAACATAACCGACTCTGTTTATGAGGATACTGTTCAAGGTGGGCATTTTGACATAATTTTGTGTGTATTTGTCTGTTCAAGCATGATAAGAGCCCTGATACTGTATACAATGTGTCAATGATATTTGACTCTTCCTGATCCCACAGCCACAGATGACTCCGGCAATGCAATTAGAGACCGTCTTAATGCATTGGACCAGGCTTTCCGCTTTCCGTGGCCGGCCATGGCGGTCCAGCTCTGTACTGCCCGTGCCGGCTTCAGCCACTGTCCAGAGGAACGCAGTTTCCTTTCCACTGATTGGCCAGTGCCTAGAGATGAACGCTTGAACACTAGATTCTGTGTATACAGGGATCTGAGAAATAAAGGCTTCTACCTGACCTCCGCAGGGAAGTTTGGAGGAGATTTCCTGGTATATCCAGGTATGTTTATGACGAAGGCAAATGTCTTTTTTTTTTTTAATGGAAGCTTCTTTCCACTTGAGAATAAAAAAAAAATCTGAATTATGAGATATAAACTCACAATTGTGATATAAATTCAGAATTGTGGGAAATAAACTCATTGAAAGATGTTAACTCGCGATTGCGAAATATAAACTCACAATTACCTTTGTTTTATTTTGTGAGAAAGTGACAGAATTGGAAGATGTAAACTTGGAATTGTTAGAAAAAAAAGTCCGAACTGTGAGATGTAAACTCGGAATTGTGAGGAAAAAAAAGCCAGAGTTGCGAGGTATAAACTCAGAATTGTGAGGAAAAAAGTCAGATATGGGACATGTAAACTCGGAATTGTGAGAAAAAAAGTCAGATTTGTGAGATGTAAACCCGGAATTGTGAGGGGAAAAAAAGAATTAGGACTCGCAATTCGGAGGGAAAAAGTCACAATTGTGAGCTTAAAAAAAGTCGCTATTAATATATATAAAAAAATTAAATTATGGAAACAAGCTTCCATAATTTTTCCATTGAATACAGACCGTAAGTATTTTCAGTGCAGCTTAATAGTTAAGATCTTATTATTGTCTTTTTGCAGGTGATCCTCTGCGTTTCCATGCTCATTTCATTGCATTATGCATTTCCATGGATGAAGAGCTACCTCTCTGTGATATTCTAGCTATAGCTCGTCTGGGCTCTAATGTGAAGAAAACAGTGTTGCTTTGCTCTCCGCAGAGCCGGAGTGAGACTGGGAAGGATGAGAGTGTGGAGTGTGATGTGGTGTATTCATCGCTGCAGTGGAGTTCTATGGTGTAACTACACAAATATAGCTTTTTTTTTCATCTATTTTTTATAGTTTATAGATGATGTGGTGCTATTGGAAACTCGGCGTGCCTTCTGGTGTGTGTGTGTGTGTGTGAGAGAGAGAAATTCTAATGACTGAATTCTGCTGGACTACTAAATGTGCATGACCAGCTATGCAGAGGGAGGATATTCCAATATCATCTAATAAATATCTTTAAAATGAAATGAAGTGTTTGAGTCTATTTATTTATAACATTGGTTTCCATTGTTACTCAGTTTAAACCTCATGAAGTATTAAAATCTACTGATAAAGTGAGATGACAAATATACTATGAACCTGTATTTATTCCTGTTATGCAGGAATACTTGTTAACTTTTGAAAAGTTAATTAATAAAGTAAATATTGAAACAATATGCAATGTGTTTGAAATATTTTGATTGAAGAAACATTTTGGTAGCACTTTATAATAAGATCCCATTAGTTTAACATTAGTTAATGCACTAACATTAAACAATACATTTGTTACAAGATTCATCTTTATTAATGTAGTTAACAAGTGGTATTTTTACTGTATTCTTCTAGCACCAAAATGGTGAAAATATTTATAATTTCATGTTCATGCTATTTTAATAAAGGACAACTAATATTATTTACATTTATTTTAAAATCGCAATTTTAACATTTTATCCAATATGATGATATATATCAAATGCAATATGATGGAGAGTGGAGACGTTAAATTTACTGCATAATAGGAGTCTGTCAAGTCCCAGAATATTTAAAGTGCAAAACACTGTCATCTGGTGGTATGATGAGGACGTTATAATGTACGTAACAGCTTATTTTGATGTTCACTCATATGGCTGTTATTAGATAACAGAATTCAAATAATGATTTATAATGAAAATAAATTAATTAATAAATTAAATATGGGGAATGTGAAAAATGCAAAGAGGCAGAACCAGTGGCGCGTTATGAAGTCTCGCGAGACAGAGACGAAGACAGGGTGAGATCAAGTCGCAGACGGAGGAAGGCAAGAAAAAGAGGAAGATCTTGACAAACTAATAAAACCCATTAAAATGTCGGGACGGTCCGTGCGGGCGGAGACACGCAGCCGTGCAAAAGATGATATCAAGAAAGTGATGGCGGCAATTGAAAGGGTCCGTCGGTGGTAAGTTATCTTTTCGAAGAGGGAGACAAGTTTCTTTTCTTCTACGTTACAAAAATAAACTTCAGTGGCGGGGAGAGTGGCGTCATTCAGTAACATGACAGACAAGCAAGGCAACCAATGGGCTTCACTGTATACTGTGTGTGGGCGTGTCCGTCATAGAAGTGTCAATTGTTGAATGTTGGTGATGTTCGGAATGTCTGAAATGTAAAATTTAGCATTTTTACATATACATTACAGGACGTGAATGCAACGTATATGCGTGAATCTTATTAAATCTGCCAAGAATTAGAATCGTAATGAAAAGAAAATAATCATTAGTCATGTTAAAATATTTGCATTTATTTATTGTACTGTTTAAATATTGTTTTTATTGTATTATGGTATAATTACTGCATTACATTATTTAATGAGAACTACCACTGAGAATAACAAAAATACACTCACAAAAAAACATCTAGGGGCATTTCTTTACTGAGAATCTGCAAACACAATGGTCCTAACATTGGTTTTATGCTCTTTATGCTAAATGTAATTTAATGGGGAAAATGTGCTTGTTTATGTGAGGTTAACCTGTAAAATGTTTGTCCTTTTAGGGAAAAAAAGTGGGTTACAGTGGGAGACACATCATTACGAATATTCAAATGGGTCCCTGTCACAGAAACTAAACAGGTGTGTGTATCATATCATCTTGAGTCCAGCTCCCAGATATATAAATATGGTCTTCAAGTTCAAAATGTCTTTTTTCTTTCTCGTAGATATACAAGCCTAAAGCGGCAGGTACTGCAGTGAGGAAACTGAAGGGCTTTCCTACAGATGTAGTGTTGGAAAATGCCCGTTCTGTGCTACTGGATTTTCAGGGTAATACAGGTTATGTTTATGTCAGACACAAGGAGGCTTAATATTTCCTCTGTAAACAATTCAGAACATCCTCCTCTATTTAATGTCACGCAACACTGGGCTGTGTTGCTATACTCTAGTTACTTGACCTGTTGTTTGCAATGTCGACAATGTTGTTGGCATACCAATTTTACCATGCTGAAGTACTTAAAGCATAATTCACACATTTCTTTAGAAGACTGCACACAAATATGTTTTTGGTTTATTCTCCTAAACAGATGACAACAGTAACCAGAGTTTCCTATCAGATGCCTATCAGTCTAATACAAAAGTGGACAGCAGCAGCAACTCCAGTCCACAGCATGTGAGTGAGGCAGTGAGCCCTTCCCAACCACCTTACTTCCGTACAGAGGATTCCCAGCCGCCCACCCTGGGACAGGAGACAATGGAGGCTGAGAGAGGTGAGAAATACTGTAGTTTACCCTATCAAAATACAATAATATAATACAATGATATATTTGATTTAAATACCGATATGTTTAACAATAACAACAATCTGGGTTTTTTTTTTTACTTGTTTTGCAATACTGTATTGAGAATTTGCAATTTTTATGAATTGTTATGAAAATAATGCAATCTTTTTTTCACTCCTAAAACAGACTTGAAATTAAAAGATCATTCAATTTCTTATTCTTTCTTTCTTTCTTTTAATTTTGGGACTTTCACAAAAGTATCTAATGATTATGCATCCTTCATTTCACATTGCATACTAGTATTTTACTTAGCTTTTCATGATCAACCCCCATATTTAGAGACATCAACAACCAGCAGTGAGGTCACGGATGAGCCCCCAACTCTAATTAAAGAAGATGTGTTGTCGCTTTCTACTCAGGTAACATCCACTAATCTTCATATAAATACTCAATTAAAAGAGATTTTATATATTGTAGATATTATGAATGCATGCCGTGTGTGACATTACTGTTTTTCATAGGAGGAAGAGGAGTTGATTGGAGCCCCGCCGCTTAAAAGAGTTTGCACTGAGCAAAACTCAACTCTTAGTTAGCACTATTATGCTGAACATCACAGGTCAAAAGTATGGAATACATTTTGAAAGAGACTGAACTGTACATTTAAGAGCCGTTTTACAGCCTGCCAAATGCCTGAAATTCGCTTTTGTGATCAAGAAACAAGCTTGAAATTGTTTTTGTTTGTACATAAAAAGATTTTACTTGGGTCTTTTCAGGTATTTTCTTATGAAGGTTTGTATTACATCTTGAAAATAAATTGTTTAATTGCATGTTTCTTAATCTAAATTGAGAAAGAACTGTATCAGTATAATACATGTGAGTCTGCATGGAGTGATGATTGGTATATACAGTATGACAAAACAGTTGAATTTTAAACATTTTAATTTGTTTTGTGTTTGCGGCATCCTTATAGATTATACAAATAACTTTTATTGGCTTGTTTTACTTTGCTTCATTGTAAAAATACTTAAATGCATGCAGTTTAGGGCAATTTTAAATAACCTCTGTGTTATCTATTTCTTCATTTGTTTATTATTGTTCATTGTACTGCATCCAATTACTGAACTTTGTTTTTGTTTTTAAAGGAATGCTTATATTTTATAAATGGTAAGGTAACTTACAGATTTGTATTTTAAATAAAAAGACTTCCACTTTCCATTGCCTTTGAAGTATTTTTCAAATAAAAAAGAAATATGTTTGTATGATCCATAAACTGGTAAAAAATTTACCTGGACTTCTTCACCAGAGATGGAAAATAAAACTACTTTGGATTCATTTGATTATTTTCTCTGATGCATTGTATGGAAGAGATAGAACATTATTCTACATATGAAAATAAGTGCAATGTCCAAGATCCACATCATCAAATCATGATTTTTAAGGCGATTACCCAATATTGGTTCCAAATAATGATACAAATTTTCAATAGACTGATTAGGGTTTAAATTGAGTGTTATATGAATACTTGAGACAATGCTTTATTATTTCATATGTTGCCTTGAGAAAAAAAAAACACGATATAGTACATTGTCTCCACTGCCAAGAGTAGCATTAACATATTAATCAAGGCTGTCTCTTTAATTGGATCATAAGTGTCGTGTGCAGGTTCTATTGTCTCTATTTTAATTATATAACAGCTGCCCCTTTCAGCTAAACGCTAGGCATTAGGCCTCATAATTTATGTTCTTACAAAAATAAAATGTCCTTAATTAAAGCAAAAGTACATGAGTCAAATTGCCATTTTGAAATAATCTATGAATTTACCACAAACTAACCTCTAGCCACGCTTCCAAACACGCCTTGTATTTATGATTGGAGGGGTGTTCCTTTGACAAAAGGTGGAGTAGGTATAACTGACAGTTCAAGCGGCCAATAAAATACCTCAGTCGTTGTCGTAGTTGTTAAGTAACCAATAGTTGGAGATGATGGGCGGGACTTATCCTTGCGTTGCAGCTTGCTACCGGGGTAACGGAGTTTTGAGGTTGTACGGAATGTTGCCGGTGTAGCAGGAACTCCCGCCATTTTTCAATAAGCTATAAACCCTGTTGTTTGTTTATGTAATCAGCACGTCCTTCAAAACAGTATCTACGCGGTCTATAGTCGCTGCGGAAAGGGGATTGGTACGTCGCTTTGGCCTGGAGAATCGACAGCAACACGGACCTGAGCGGCATAAGAAAGCCCGCCATACCAGCTCTGACGGGCCGCCTTTCGCGCTTCCATCCCCGGCACTCAGGAGGAGCTTCCGTTCACTTCTTACGCTCTTTTCAACCATCTCACCATGACCCCACCGGCCGCCCCAAACCAACGGATTTCACACAGGAGATGTAACTGACCAGTAAAGCCGTAGTTTGGTTTTGTTTCGTTTTCACGCGCTTTGTAAAAAGTAACTTAAGTAAAGCAGCGCGCGCTAGCCTAGCCCCCATGCTACGCCGCTGAGACGCGCGGATTTCACTCCATATTCAGTTTAAGCTGAGATTGAGCGGTGGGTTAGTTAAGTAGTTCACATTGCCGACACATCCAGGACCGTAGCAGTCCGCACGCGATGGCGCCGTTGCTAGGCCGGAAGCCGTACCCGCTGGTGAAGCCGCTGTCGGAGCCGCCGGGCCCAGGAGAGGAGGTGTACATCATCGAGCACTCTAAAGAGGCCTTCAGGAACAAAGAGTATCCTTTCCCACTGCCACCACTATCCACCTGCGAGCACTGAACATACACACATGCGTCCGCGAGAATCCCGATCTGTTGTTTCCACGCGGATCGTGGATTCTGAGCGCGTACCAGAACAGTGTGCGCATTTAAGCGGTTATTATTGTTTTCATCCTGCGCGCTGCATCTCATTGTAACGCTAACAGGCTAAAGGTGACATGACGTTTAGATCATCCGGGGTTACACTCTTAAGGCTTGGCTTAATGTTATATTTGTCTGATTTTGAGTGTTGGGACCTGGTAAAATTCATGTTATTGAGAGGTTGCTGATGTTGTCCTGTGTGCATTTTAGAGCGAGCTAGTGTTAGCGAGCTAGCTCCAGGAGTGTTTGTGTGACGTCTGGCGGCTAAGCAGTGTCTTATCCAAACTGCTATGACTCAATCTTGTGTAACGCGCGCGAGCTCGCTCTCATTAACCGTTCACGGATATGAGTTTATAGATTGATGCTCCAAGATTGAGACTGACGGTTATCTGTATACTGGGAGTGTGGTTATGATTGTACAAATAGTTTTTGCTCAGGCTGCCACTGGAGGGGAAAGTGCGAGTTCACGTGCAGCTGCTGCGCGAGGTCATTTGCGCGCGAAATGTTCCCCGCGCGCCAGTGACGCCACGTGAATTTGGTCATAATCGTCAGGAGGAGTAGAGCTGACCTTCAGGGCATCAGCAACCGCGTATTTTAGTCTTTTGATTTATGTTGTTAAATCCAGCATTCGCATGTTTGTTGACTATGATGTTTTTGTAAATTTGACTAGAGGTTTGCTCTAAAAATATAGATATTTATATGGTGTAGAGTTTTAACTATCTAAGACAAAATCTCTTATGGCAGATGTCACTGTAACAGGTTTCCTGACGAACCACACCTGTCTCTGTAAATAGTATAAAAGAAAGTAAACTCGCATGTGTGTTACGGAATCAGAAAACTAGCCAATCAGAAACTCTCCCTGCGTCATAATCACTCTCTGCATTCGGGTTTTGTGACATCGGATTGGCTAACGTGTCTGTGGAGGGCGGGGCTTTGGGGAGAAGGCTGTAGGATGGAGGTCAGTTTAATTCAGTTCGCATTCGATTGAGGTGCAGGTTATACAAATTGAAAACTTGTCTTTCTGACTCATTCTAAAGATGTAATCACGTGCTTAAACTTTACGCTTGTTCCAGTTCCAATTTTCCTGTTTTTCCCACCAAGTGTGTGTTCTAGATCTGCCAAAAAAGTGTTTGAAGCAAGCAAAGTTTTGAGTCTGTAGCTTTCATAAGACGTTTAATGTCATGACGTTTTTTTGATGCAATGATGGAATAATACATGAGATGGCATATTAATTAAGACAATATTTGGGCTTTTTTTGCGATGATCGGCATCTGCCATTTAGGTTTTGCTTGTCTGTTGTGAAATCTACATATAATGACCATGTCATAATTTCATTTAATTTGAGCATTTTTGTCTGTCTTGTTTGCTTGCATAGCCAGGTTTCTAGATATACTGATATCGGATATTTAAAGCCCACATTGGGTGACCAGTAATTATTTATTATGCTTAGATAAACATTTACATAATACATGAACAGAGCCAAATTAACTTATGCACAAGTATTTATCTTGCCTTTTGGCACAGTGGTTTTACTCTTTTCAGAGTGCGTGTAATATCAATTTTACTGAAATACAATATACTCTTGTATTTTTGCTACCTGTTCTTAATTGCAAATTTAAATCGAAAAATGTTCATGGAGGTTCTGCTGCTGCTGGCCCTTTAATTACTGAGCTTCTGTGCTACACACATGCAGAATGAGTCTCTTTCATAAAGGACGGACGGACGGCAGGGCAGCTCTGCTTTGGAAATGCAGAAGAGCTAGAGGTGTTGTAGTGTTTGACTGTGTTGGTTGTCCTTAATCCTGTTGTTCAGAGAGTATGAAGCTCGACTGCGCAGGTATGGAGAGCGGATATGGACGTGCAAAAGCACTGGCAGCAGCCAGCTTACACATAAGGAGGCTTGGGAAGAGGAGCAGGAGGTCACTGAGCTGTAAGTAACAAAAATGAGCTCATACATGAGTGATATGAGCATCATTCAGTCATCAGTCCATTAATTCAGTCCTTCTCAGTTTTTTTTTTAAATTTTTTACTCTATCTCTGTTTAGACAGCATTTTTGGCTGTCTCAATATGTAGTGAGCTGCCAGTGCCTTCTTGCATTTGTGCTTATCTGAGGCACAGAAATGCTGGATAGGTATGCAGCTCAATAGGTTTAAGCTATAGCTGTTTGTCATACATTATCTGAGTTCTTGGGAGGGTTATTGGTTTACTTAAACTTGGTACTTGAAAAAAGAAATGTTAACTCAAAATAAACTGAAAAAAACTTGTTCCCAAGGCAGCATTTCTCGTTTTAATTTATTACATCAACTTGATGTAATAAAATAACTGAAGCTACAACATGAAAAAACCCTGACAAACACACAACAAATTTACTAAAACTTAAACTAAAATTAAAAAAGAAAATATTAATAAAAACTATAATAGTGTCCCAGTGATACTGAAAAAGTGCTGTTTTAGATCATTGGAATTTTAAAATTGTGATTTCCAGGCCTAGAAACGAATCCGGCAGTTTGAACCGATTCACAGACTCTTAACTCTTTCTTAACGCTATTCATATATACCTGTAATTGGCTCTGAAATATTTTATTGATTTGAAATTATTATTTTTGTGCAATTTGTGTAAAATGAGTAATCTGGAAGAGGCATGGAAATTCATTGGGTGTTGCAACCCTTTATTTTCCAGCATGTCTGCTGTATGTTTCTACATTGGTGTGTGGGAGAGAGAGAGAGAAAGCAGTTTAGTCTCGTAAGCTGCTTATGTAACCAGACACACTCACAACAGTTTACTGTACAGACCATATAGAGCGTTATGCTGCTTTAAGGGTCAATGTGTTTTGGATGCTATTTTTACTGTTCATTCTTCACTCCCGTGTTTCTCATCTCCCTCTGCTGGCCATGAAGAGTATGAAGTTGTACTGTTTTCAAATGAGCTTTACTGGTGTTTACGGAAGCGTATTTCATTCACTTGAGGAAAAAAAATCTACTGTTTTTCTGAATTAACGAGTTAATTATCTCAGAATTACGAGAATTTTTTCATGAAAAATAGTTTTTGCTCTGTTTTTCTGAATTAACGAGTTATTATCTCAGAATTATGAGATACTTTTTTCTTGAAAAACATTCTTTTCACTCTGTTTTTATGAATTAATGAGTTACTCATAATTTTGAGATAATGAAGTCATTAATTCAGAAAAACCGAGCAAAAACTTTTTTCTATGAACAATTATCTCGTAATTCTGAGATGATTAACTCGTTAATTCAGAAAAACAGAGCAAAAACTTTTTTTCAATGAAAAATTATCTCGTAATTCTGAAAAAGTAGTTTTTTTTTTTCCTCAAGTGAATGCAATACGCTTCCGTAGGTGTTAACATAAATCCTCTCCAAATAAATGTTTTCAGGTAAGTCTAACAGTAGTATTCAGCTAAGAAATTGGGCCAGTGACGACTCCAACTGTCCTGAGCATATTTCACTCTGGCCTAACAAACACTTCCTAACCTGCATTGGTTAGCAATACAAAGTTGCAAATCAAAGCATATTTTCATAAAGTTTTGCAAGTTATGGTGAGTGAATCAATCATTTATGTACTTATGTTACCGATAATATAGAATGGTTTCATGTTTGGCAGGCTTCAGGAGGAGTATCCGGTGTGGTTTGAGAAGCCTGTTCTGGAGATTGTGCACCATAACACAGTATCTCTTGATAAGCTAGTGGATCTGGTCTGGGTGGAGATTCTCACCAAGTATGCTGTGGGCGAGGAGTGTGACTTCTTGGTATGAACTTGGATTTAATATTTTGATGCTTGTATGTAGGATAATGGTACACACCTGCATGTTCACCTATATCCGAGAACACTATCCCTCCATGCAGATAAAGGAATCTGTTATAACTTAAGGCAATGTGATTTCCGTGATGCAGAGAGAATCCCCGGAATCAATCCAGTCAAGAAAATGCAATTTCCAGTATAATGCAGATGTCACATAAAATGCACAAATTGATGGATGAATAAATCAAAAGTAGAACTGTACAATAAATCTGTGAATATTAAAGCGCAAAAAAACTGCTATATAAATATGTAATCTGCGCGTTTTTGCGTATGAGTTGCGCCGCTTCGTCTGCTACGTACTCAAGTATGCGTGACTCAGCGTCTGCCGTTTCACAATATGAGGACGTGAACACACGAACATCTCCAGAGCTGCTCCGAGAGAACGCTTAAGCATTTCGTCATTTTATTTGAGGAAAAACTATTGTCAAAAACTTAAAGGTCTTCACTACATCCCGTCAAAATAAAAGTTGTTTAACTTGAAGAACTTGGCAAATATATTTACAGAAATATGTACTGTTTTACAATAGAATGTACTTCTCAAAGTTTAAATAATAATAACAAAAATAATACAATTTATTTGAACCTTTACGGAATATAATGTTTTGTCCATTATTTAGTTTAGTAAATCTCTTGTTGTGCAGCAGAAAAATAAAAGGTAAAAAGTTGTTAATTTTTCATTTGGTTACATATTAAAACATTAATTATATTGTTAGTTTTATGCATTTATTTGATTATCACCATTTTTGATAATATATTTGTATTAAATCATAAGTATTTTATTCTCTATTATTCTTAAATTAATAAATTATTAATGATAAAAAGTTGTTAATCTAATCCATAATTAAATTGATTAGACATGTTCTTGATTATTGAAAGTTGAATAAACAAAACAAACAAATGGTTTCCAGTTTGTTATAAAGCTTTTGTTCAACAAAGTTGAGTGGAAATTTGTCTGACACTGGTGACATAGATGCATTCACATTAATGATTAAACACATCACACATTAACAACACAAACACATAATTAACAAAATTATACAATTAAACATTGTTTCCATCATTCCACTGTTTTAAAAAAAAAACTTTTTTTCTCTCTTATGGATGTAAAATGGTAATTCTGTCTTGCTCTCTCTGTAAGGTTGGCAATGATAAGACTTTGCCTGTGAAAGTGGTAAAGCTTCATCCGCTGGAGAATCCTCCGGAAGAAAATGTGGAGAAAAAGGTGGAAGGAGCTTGTGATTCTCCATCCAGTGATAAAGAGAACGCCAGTCAGGAGAACCTGAAGAAGGAGCCACAGTCCAAAGAGGAGGAGAGCAGGAGAGAGAGTCTCTGTAAGACTTAGCTGCTCTTTACGTTCATTCATGATGTCTTTCATTATATTCAAAAAAATGATTATTAGTTATTATTTACTGGTATTATTCAACTGACCAGTAATTGTACTTTTTTTTTTTTTTGTCTGTAGCGGATAGGGCCCGTCGCTCACCCAGAAAACTCCCAACCAGTATGAAAGAAGAAAAGAAGAAATGGGTCATGCCCAAATTTCTGCCCCACAAGTACGACGTCAAACTTCTTAATGAGGACAAAGTAATCAGTGACGTTCCCGTAGACAGCCTGTTCAGAACGGAGCGGCCTCCCAACAAAGAAATCATGCGCTACTTCATCAGACACTACGCTCTGAGGTTGGGGTCGGGAGAGAGCGCCCCCTGGGTGGTGGAGGATGAGTTAGTGAAAAAATTCAACCTGCCAAGCAAATTCAGTGACTTTTTACTGGACCCTCACAAGGTGGGATACGTATGTGATATGCTTTAGAAAGAAGTGTTTTCATAAAAAAAGTTAAATCAACATATTTTCTTTGTTTAGTTTTTGGCAGAAAATCCTTCAACTAAGAGGAAAAGCATGAGCTCACCCGAAGGTAAACCCAATAAGAAGCTGAAGACTGGAGAGACGGGAACAGACAGTGAGGGAGTAAATGTAAAAGGGGAAAAGAAGAAAAAGAAAAAAGACTCCCAGAACATACCTCTCAGTCCAACCCTCTGGAGTCATATGCAGGTACGTTTGAGCAGAGTACTTGCAAAATCTAATCATGTGAGCTGATGTCAAAAATGCTGGCTATAAAATAGTGACTGGCTATTTAATGCTAGATTAAATAGATAATGTACAATCTAAAACAGAGACCATGTATTTAATATGAAATATGAGCCTCTGATGCATCCACTGTGGGGGGGAAAACTCCTGTACAATGGAGAAAAACATGGATTATCATATAAATTTCTTTAGAAAGAAGTATTATTTTCCTATTTTTGACCTAAAATAGGAATGAGTTGAGCGTTACTGAGCATTTGTTTCATTCATTCTGGACGCTAGAGGGCGCCGTCAAGCAGAAACTCCAAATATGCCTCAGGGACTTCCTGGAACGTCATTGTATTACTTCCATAATTCCCACTTCCCTACTAGATGGGCGGCACATCGTTTTGAAACGTATTTTAGTCATCTCATATACAAATTAATGGCTTAAAAGCTATCTTATGCTCTTTAATGAGACTGCCCGATTGAGTTATTTGTGCATTTTATTGTATTTATGCAATGTTTGTGTATATTAAATAAATAAATAAATCATTTTCTTTTGTTCAGGTGAAGAAAGTTAATGGATCACCTTTAAAAATGAAAAACTCAGGTACTTCCAAGAAGTCTGATGGGGAAAACATCCTCGGCACCCCAAAATCGAACAAAAAATCCACTGACCCCAAAAAGAGCCGCAAGAGTGGAGTCACCAAGACTCCCAGTGGCCAGAAGCTCTCCAAAAAGGAGGACAAAATCACCAAGAAACCCAAAATGAAGCAGATGACCCTTTTGGATCTTGCTAAAAGTCCACCTGCTCCAGCTAGCCCAAAAAAGCGAGGGCGAAGTTTAAGCACTGGCTCCACTAAGCTGGGCAAACCTTTTCCGCCTATGGCCTTGCATCTCCTTCGGTTTTACAAGGAGAATAAAGGCAAAGAAGACAAGAAGGCCGCTCTGTCCACACTGGTGTCTAAGGCAGCAAAAACGCTGTCCGCAGAGGATCGCGGGCGACTTCCCGAGGAGCTGAAAGAGCTGGTGCAGAAGCGCTGGGAACTTCTTGAGCAAAAACGCAGATGGGCCCTCATGACCGAGGAGGAGAAACAGGATGTTCTGCGTCAGAAGCGTCAGGAAGTCAAGAAGAAGCTGCGTGAGAAAGCTAAAGAGCGAAGAGAGAAGGAGATGCAGATGAGGCGGGAGATGTCGCGCCGTTACGAAGACCAGGAACTCGAAGGCAAATGCTTGCCAACATTCCGTTTGTTCGACATGCCCGAGGGGCTTCCCAACGCCCTCTTTGGTGACATAGCCATGGTAGTGGAGTTCCTTCAGTGCTACTCTGGCCTCCTGATGCCAGATGACCAGTATCCCGTCACCTCCATCGCTCTGATGGAGGCTTTAGCTGGAGACAAGGCGGGTTTCCTCTACTTGAACCGTGTGCTGTTGGTTCTGCTGCAAACGCTTCTGCAAGATGAGCTGGCCGAAGGTTACAGTGAACTGGACATGCCGTTATCCGAGATTCCTCTGACCATGCACTCCGTATCCGAGCTGGTGCGCCTGTGTTTGCGGCCAACGGATGCACACGAGGAAGAGAGTGCCCGTGGCTCAGATGGCTGGCAGCCTGGTGGGGGCTATGATGACGTGGTGAGCAGCGAGTTTTTGGAAAAGCTTGAGACATCGGAAGTGTTTGAACTGACCCCTCAGGAGAAGGTCAGCCTGCTGGTGGCGCTGTCTCATCGTATCCTCATGACCTATTCGGTGGAGGATCACGTGGAAGCCATGCAGCAGCGATCAGCCGAGCTGTGGAAGGAGCGGCTCGCCACGCTCAAAGAAGTCAATGAACGTAAGAGGGCGGAGAAGCAGAAACGGAAAGAGCAGATGGAGGCAAAAACCGATGGTAGTGGTGATGTTCTCTTGAGGGCAGATGGGAGGAAAGATTCAAACGTGAAAAAAGAGGCACTTAAGGTCCCTGCCAAAGTGGAAGCAGAGCCGGAGGACATGATCAGCACTGTGAAAAGCAGACGCTTGATGTCCATTCAGGCCAAGAAAGAAAAGGAAGAACAGGAACGGCAAAACAAAGGTGAGAGATGAGTAAAAAAAAAAAAAGTGAAGCTTGTTTGGTGCGCATCAGGGTTCGGATGGCAGCGTTCACACTTATTCAAATTAACTACGTTAACAGAGCAATCGCTCCAGAGTTTACACTTTAATCGAACCAAACCTGCCAAGTGTGAACACACCATGAAAGTAGGGCACTGAGAGACACAATGAAGACAGAGTCTATCAGAACAGGGTAATTAAAGAGAGCAGCATGTTTAATGTGAAATGGTTGAGTTTTAGAATTGTTTTCTAAAGGCATTTATATTATTACACAAGATTTCTATTTTAAATTGTTCTTTTGAACTTTCTTACAATACTTGAAATTGCGACCATTTTGGTGTCTTATCCTCCCAAAATTGTATGTGCGCCCTCAAAATAAATGAGATAATACAAATGTTTTTAAATAAAATGTATGTATGCATCTCTTGCAGAGCGTATGGAGAAAGAAGCAGAGGAGGAGCGCATAAGGAGGCAGAAAGCTGCAGCAGAGAAAGCCTTCCAGGATGCTGTCACTAAAGCCAAGCTGGCGTTGAGGAAAACACCGCTGGGCACTGACCGCAATCACAACCGGTATTGGCTGTTCTCCGATGTGGTTCCTGGGCTGTATATTGAAAAGGGATGGGTTCATGAGAGTATAGACTACACGTTCACTCTTCCTCCTGAAGAGGAGCCGGTGTTGACAGAGGAAGATGAAGAGATAAAGAAAGAGGAGGAGATAAAGAAAGAGGAGGAGACAGAAGGTTAGTCTACCTTTGCACTTTCTAAATACTTTATTGTAAATGTGTTATTGACCAGACTTCTTGGCAGAATTTAAATGTTAGCCGCATAAAACCTGTTTGCCAGACTAGGTGTTCTGGTAGATGTATCACATCTGTTGTTTACAGAAGCAACAGTTTTCTTGGTTTTTGGTACAAACTTCTACCTAACGGGTGTAGTCAAGTACAATCCATGTAAAATGGGTTCTGTTTGGAGTAGAAAAAAAAATCCTTAAGTATTTTCAGATCAAACTTATAAATGTATAATATACAGAATAATGTTACTTTCATTGAAATGCAATCTGTTTGAACGTGTCTGTTCCTTGCCTTCTCAGATGGAGAGAAAGAGGATGAGGGCAGCATAGTCAGCACTTCTAATGAAAATGGCCAGCAGGTGGCACCAGTGCCAGAGACTTGTATTGAGACCACTGTGCCCAAACAAGGCCAAAACCTCTGGTAAGTGTTCTTGCAAATTCCCAGCTGTATCATTTGGTGTCTGGGAAATCTGCCTTTAAGTAATTTTTGTATGAGACTACACATTTTTTGGGAGGAAAGGCCTCCAATAAGAAAAAGGTCTAAAATGGGGTTAAAATTAACTTTAATCAGGACATGGCATGACATCTGTCAAGATATATCAGTATTGGGCGGCAACACAAATGCTTGTTCTTAAACTGTTTTACCAGGTTTGTGTGTGATGCACCAAAAGACCTCGATGAACTAATAGAGAGTCTTCACTCTCAGGGAGTAAGAGAGAGTGAACTCAAACTCAGGCTGCAGGTCAAGTGAGTATATAAATATACACACGCACACATCCCCTTTCTCCTGAAAACACATTTTCACAACTTGCTTTCAATCCCAGTAAAATGAATGAAGAATTCAGATGGTTTTATTTTGTGTTTTAGTTACCAGGAAATCTTGCATTCCATCCATCTGACAAAAAAAGGTAACCCAGGCCTTAAGACCTGCGACGGATACCAGGAGCTGCTTAAATTCTTGCGCACTGACATTATCGAGGTAGCCTCTCGTCTGCAGAAAGGAGGCCTGGGATACATGGAGGACACGTCTGAGTTTGAGGAGAGGGTGAGAAACATTAAGATCTTGTGGTGAGGGTGGGCGCTTATACCATTACCATCTCGTGAAATAAGATTTTGGTCAATAGCCCTGAAGCCCAGCCCTGCTTCATGGATCTCTCCACCACTTTGAACCTACCTGACCTCTCACTTGTGTTTTCAGGTGCAGACCTTGGAGAAACTGCAGGATTTTGGCGAGTGTGTGATCACCCTGCAAGAGAGCGTGATCAAGAAGTTTCTGCAGGGCTTCATGGCGCCCAAACAGAAGAAGAAAAAGAAGACTGCGGGAGAGGAGAGTACGACGGCAGAAGAGGTGGACGATCAGAAGAGACTGGCTGAAGAGGCCAGGGTGAGTGCATTTGTGCTCAATAGGGCTTCATGACACTAACATTTCAGTAATTAATTTAATTATTCTCAATACCATAGCCCAAAAAAAAAGAACAAAAAAAAAAGCGTGTGTTTAAAAAGTTAAAAATAAATATTAACAAATTAAAACTATGTACTCTTCAGTCAAGTAAACATTGCAGGCATTGATTGAAGCAAACAGAAACAAATTCCGTGCATTAGAACTAATAAAAACAGAACAAAGATGGTGTTTTAATACATTTTACATGTAATTCTATTTCCGTAATGACAAAGCTGAATAAAATATTTTTTTTAAACTAACTCCAAATCTTTATAGGGTTAGTTCACCCAAAAATGAAAATTCTATCATTTACTCACCCTCATGTCATTCCAAACCTGTAAGACTATTGTCCATCTTTAGAACACAAATGAAGATCTTTTTAATGAAATCTAAGAGATTTCTGTCCCTCCATTGACAGCCATGCAACTACCACTTTGACGCTTCAAAGATTTCATAAAGAGAACGTAAAACTAATCCATATGAATCGAGTGGTTTAGTTCAAATTTTCTGAAGAAACCCGATCGCTTTACATCATGAACAGATTTACTTTTGGCTTTTATTCACATATAAACATTCATCAACTCACACATCAGTTGTGGTAAAAAAAAAGCATGTTCGCTTGACGTGCGAGAACAAATGAGGTTCATTCTCGTGTTACGCAGCACGTTTGAGCTTCCACAAGAGGTTTGTTCTCAAACTTCTAGCATGTTCGATTGAGCTTCTGTTTGTTCACTGATCAATGTTGATGTGTGAATAAAAGCCTAAATTAAATCTGAATTTTTAACTAATCCACTTGATTCATATTGATTAGTTCACGATCTCTTTATGAACTTTTTGAAGCATCGAAGTAGTTGTTGCGTCAACTCAAAGAAGGGACAGAAATCTCTCAGATTTCATTTAAAGTCTTCGTGTTTCGCAGGTGAATGAAAGTCTTACTGGTATGGAATGACATGAGAGTAAGTAATTGATGACAATTTTATAATTTCTCGGTGAACTACCTCTTTAAAAGTAGTGTATGTGAGTGTATATAATGTTCAAACCACTAAACTTGTGCATATTGAACTTCTAGGTAGCCACGGCGGTGGAGAAGTGGAAAACTGCCGTCCGTGAAGCTCAGACTTTTTCTCGCATGCACGCGCTGCTCGGCATGCTGGACGCCTGCATCAAGTGGGACATGTCTGCAGAGAACGCTCGCTGTAAAGTGTGCCGCAGGAAAGGTGAGACATCAAAGATCAATCTCTAATGCTGTGAAGCACTGTTTTATAGTGTTAAATATTAAATGCAGTGGAAAAATGTTGGACCAAGTCATCAAAGCTATGAAATCACACATTACAACGTGAATGAGACGTTGTGTACAATGAATTAATTAATTATTTATTTATTTTTTACATTTTGTCATTTTCAAAGTTGCCACCCTTTGTCTAGATTCCAGCTCTGTTCTGGACATTCACTAAACCCACTTTAGGAGCTGCATCATGGGATGCTTTTTTAAACTGCATTTAAATAAGTTAATCTGTACTTTTGCTTCTCTTTCCAGTCTAATTCATCAAACAATATGATTTTAATCTATTTTAGTTTTATAAATGACAATTTAAATTGGTCTGCAAAACTAATTTTTTCCAAAAGTTTTAATAGTACTATTTAGTGTTTCCCATTAATTACCTAAAATCTGGCCACCCGTCACAGTTTTATAATAATACGAAAATATACTTAAAAATATACAAAAAAAATCTCGTAACGTTGTAATTTCCACCATTAATTTGGCAAAGCATCTATTGAAATCACAAAAAAGACAACAGTTTGAAGTATATAGTCTGTGATCATTTACACTGCAGTTCATGATCAAGTGCTTTCAGCGTCTAAGGGGCTGTTTACACCTGGCCACTTTACCGTTCGTGAAAAGACCAGGTGTAAATGCCAATGCAAAAAAAAAAACGTGTGAGCGTGTTATAGACTGTCATGTTAAAGCCAGATATAACGGCTCTACTGCAACACGCATCACCGCAGATGAGCATCTATTCGTCAAGCCAACGCAAACTATCGCAAATCAAAGTGAAAGTAAGTTGCAGACGCTTAACACACAATCATCTTCATTAAAAGTAAAGAAACGAAATGATCTTACCAGTGCTGTTGCCGCTCTCCCCTATTGCGGTCTTTTGATTTTGAGATTAGCTGATTATCAAAATTCAGTACAATATTTATTGTACTGATATAGTACTGTCACTTGCATCATAATTTGGAACACAGTGTACCGAGTATGTGAAACAAATGACCTTCAGACTAGTTACAGGGAGTAGTTGACTTCACACCTTTAGCGTATGAAATGCACAAGGGAGAGAATGACCATCAAAGAGAGAATGTCTAAGATTTAAACGGCACCTGTTGCTGTAATGTGAGCTGCACACAAGAGAAAGTACTGCATGAAACAGGAAGATTTAATGTGTAAGTGATCTGGTTTCTGAATGTCTTTCTCTGCAGGAGAGGATGATAAGTTGATTCTGTGTGATGAGTGTAATAAAGCCTTCCACCTGTTCTGTCTGCGGCCGGCTCTGTACCGTATACCGGCGGGTGAATGGCTCTGCCCAGCCTGTCAGCCAACCACTGCCCGACGCAGCTCCAGGGGCAGGTTAGTGCTCACGCGTTGTAAAATCTGTGCTAGTGTTTTTTTTCTTTTTTTTTTTCTCTTTTTTTCTAGGTTTACCACTGGAAATAAGCTCTAGTAATTCAGGGTTTGCTTGGATGTTTTGAAGCATTTGTCTAAAAGCTTTAGTTTCCCCAGTTAAATGAATGTAAATATGAGGCTAGTGTAGCTTTCTGGGTTTTTTTCCATGCTCAAAAGTTCCTCCAATTCATTTACAAATCTTTGCATGTGCAGAAATTATAATGAGGACACTGAGGAAGAGGAGGATTCAGAGGAGGAAGATGAAGAAGAGTCTGAAGAGGAAGAATCGGAAGAAGAATACAGGGATACAGGCCACAGCTGTGAGTGTCACTAAGAGCTTTGAAAACCAATACACTTTTCATTTAAGGGTGGGGGAAAAATGCAATTTTTACTTCATCAATTTGTATGAATGTTTTCATACCAAAAATGCAAAAAAAATTAAACCTGGTCTATGTACTACAGCATCATGCCATGCTGAAGTGCTTGAAACTTTGTCTTAAGTATTGGCACAAACTCTAGTTGTCTGTTTTGGTTTTCACAGTAAGACCGAGGAAAAAGATGAAGACATCTTTGAAGCCTAAAGTGCAGAGTAAACAACCACAGAAGAAGCATTCGCCTCCTAGTTCCAGACCCGCTTCCAAGCCAGATCCCAAACCTGCTCTCAGATCTGCTGCTAAATCAGATCCCAAACCTGCTCTCAGATCTGTTTCCAAACCAGATCCCAAACCTTCTCCCAAACAAGATCCTAAACCTCCCAAACCTGCTCCCAAACAAGATCCTAAACCTTCTTCCAAACCTGCTTCCAAACAGTCACCTAAATCACGGCCCGCACCGAGCCACCCTGCTGACATCGACGAGCTGGTGAGTAAAACAAGACATGTGGAAGTGAGGTCTATGTTACTGTTCCCTGTTTGCATTAAATTTGTTTTAGTTAACTGTGCAGTATAGATCTTTACAAATGTTAGGTTAATTTTTGATTGCCTTCAACAACAAAAAAAGCACAATTGAGACTAGGGGTGCAACGGTACAGATAGCCCACGGTACGGTACGTACCTCGGTTATTGGGCCACGGCCTCGGTTCGGTTTCGGTACATGTTTTGTGCAGAAAGAGACTGCTATTTCATCCCAAAAATATGTTTTATTTTTCTTATGAGCATAAACAGAATGTCACAGTAGGAAGAACATCAATGTGTATGGAATAAATTAACACTCTAGTCTGTACTGAACAACACTAAGTAATACAACCTCTTACCACTTATGAAATACAAAATGTAAACAAACACAATTTAGAATATTCAAGTGGATCCCAATTCCAAACCTTGATAACTGGTATATGAAGTGATCAATGTGAAAGAAAAAGTGCACTTTTACCTTTAACAAACATAAATTAGCTTGTGGTTTGAATAAAAAAAAAGCAGAGCAAAATAATATAATAAAAAAATACTGCATTCAGGATACAAAGTGCAATGTTATTTACTCATCCACTATTGAGAGATTCTTGTGCAAAAAGATGAGTCTATCAACACTGTCTAGTGCAAGGCGAGACCGGTTGGCACTAACGATGTCCCCAGCAGTGGAGAAAATTCTCTCACTAGGAACTAAAGTCCCTGGGACACAGAGAAGACGTTTTGCCGCTTTTGCTACATGAGGTAACTTGCACTCATTGGTCTTCCACCACATGAAAGGATCAGCATCAACACCAATGGAGTCTTCTAACCTATATGAAGCAACTTCATCCTCAACAATCTGGGAAAGAGCCTAACGCGAATTTTATTATTTGCGCGAGTGGATTACATACAAAGTCAATGCAAAGACGCGAATGACGGGCGTTGCGAATGACGCGAATTGGGCGACGCGTTTGCCTCGAATGTCTTCCGCGCAAGTTGAAAAATTTGAACTCGAGCGAATGTTCAAGCGTCTAACTAGACGCGTATTTGACGCTCTATTCGCGTTCGTTGTGTGAACACACCATAAAAGGATCAGCGCGAACTCAATGGCAAAACCGAAGTCCCGCGGGACACGAGGGTAGATTGTCCTGTGCAGGGCTGGCCGAATGGTCCGGGATTTTACTGTGTACCGTTGCATCCCTAATTGAGACTGATTCAGCTGAACCCATTTGAAAAGCTTTAGTGAATCAATGAAGTACTGGTGAAAGAACAGTTTGTTCATTTTAACAAGCATAATATGGGGTGTGTTGAGGCAAAAAAAATTTTTTTAAATGAACAGTGCAAGTGGAGGCACATTAAAGGGTTAGTTCACCCAAAAATGAAAATTCTGTCAGTAATTACTCGCCCTCATGATGTTCCGACCCCGTAAGACTTTCATTCATCTTCGGGACACAAATTAAGATATTTTTTTATTAAATCTGAGAGCTGGATCACTCCTCCATAGGCTTCTTAAGGGATCGAAACTGACTGGCCCAAAAGTTATGAAAGACATCGTTAAAATAGTCCGAGTGACTACAGTGGCTCAATCTTAAGTTTATCAAGCGACGAGAATACTTTTTGTGCGCAATAAACAAACAAAAATAACGACTTTATTCAACTAATCATTTCCTTCTCTGTTCGGCCGTGATATTTCACGTAGTGATATTGCGCAAAGCTTCTAGGTTGCACGTCACACGTAGGCTCACTATTGGCCAACGCTGGTCATGTGTGTGTGTGATGCGTGACGTACAACCTAGAAGCTTTGCGTTGTTCCACTACGTGAAATATCACGGCCGTACAGAGAAGGAAATGAATAGTTGAAATAAAGTCGTTATTTTTGTTTGTTGTTGCGCACAAAGAATTCTCGTCGCTTGATAAACTTATGGTTGAGCCACTGTAGTCACTCAGACTATTTTAATGATGTCTTTCATTACTTTTGGGCCGGTCAGTTTCGATCCCTTAAGAAGCCAATGGAGGAGTGATCCAGCTCTCAGATTTAATCACAAATATCTTAATTTGTGTTCCGAAGATGAACGAAAGTCTTACTGGGTCGGAACAACATGAGGGTGAGTAATTACTGACAGAATTTTCATTTTTGGGTGAACTAACCCTTTAAGTATTAGTCACTGTACTAATATAGACCTATATGAATGTTTAGGAATAGGAAAGCACCATATGTGAGTGTTTCTGAAGTGTTTTTGATTTTTTTGCAGATCCGACAGAGCTCTAAGCCTCTATTAAAGAAAAAAGCTGTTGAGCTGGAGAAATGTGAGGAGATCCTTCAGAAGCTCATGAAATACCGATACAGCTGGCCCTTCAGGTAAACCCTCACAGACATTATAAAGGCATATGATTTTGTGAACGTTTTAATACACACATAGATTTGTTAATCACAATTAATGTCATAACTTTTTAATAGACTTAAAAAGGTAAAAATTTGCTATTTAATTTACTGTTTTAATTGAATATTTATACAAAGTTATTTGGCCTCTAGAGGGCGAAATTAAAATCATTGACTGAGTTGTTTACGTTAACAAGTGAGGCTGCGTGCAGCACAGAGATTACAAACTGCACGGAGAGCGCTGACACTTCAGATGCGCATTTAAAACTACCGTATTTTCCGCACTATAAGGCGCACTTAAAAGCCTTTAATTTTCTCAAAAAACGACAGTGCGCCTTATAATGCGGAGCGCCTTATATATGGATGGGGAACACACGTTCACCAAGACGGGGAGACAGCGCCGGGCGACTTACGCCACTATCTGCCAATGGATCGTGGATGCCTGGGCTGATATATCAGTCTCAACTGTGATCCGAGCTTTCACGAAGGCAGGAATAATCTCTTTATTCAGCCAGCTCACATACCCGTATTTACTTCCTGTTTTCGGCCGAAGTCCACAGTAGTTGATTGTCGAGTTCGCGCGCGCGCGATCAAACCTCCTCCGTGTGTTCAACATCTGATTCGGATGAACTATCCATTTGAGCTGATATTCTCAGAACACCACACAGCACCGTCATCGGCTGACAGCTGACAGTCTGAGTCTCCACTGTTGCTTAGTTACCAATGATCGCGCGCGCACTCGACAATCCCCTACTGTGGACTTCAACCGAAAACAGGAAGAAAATACGGGTATGTGAGCTGGCTGAATAAACATCATTTTTATTCATATCTTTCACATTTACTGGAGTCAGATTCACCGTGTTCACTCACATGGCTGTGCACTTGTAATGACACATTAAGGTTGTTAAGAGGCTAAAAGCAGGTTTAAAACTTTTCCCGTTTAAGTCAACAGGGTGCAAATTTTAAAAAGAGGATAACACGGTGTAGGCAACACCGGTTTTGTCGTTGTTATCTGTACTGACAGCACTCCAAATTTACAAAAAAATGAGCTCAATGTTAAAATTGACCAGAGTTTTCCTTTAACGTTTGAACAACGTTACCATGGGAGTGAACGGAGTTGTCAGAAAGCTTAATAAAGTTGACATTTGTTGACATCTAGTGGATGCATAACGCAAACCCAGTCAAACGTTTGACTGCAGTATCTTATGCGCCTTATAATCCGGTGCGCCCTATATATGAAAAATGTTCTAAAATAGGTCATTCATTGAAGGTGCGCCTTATAATCCGGTGCGCCGTATAGTGCGGAAAATACGGTAGTTAAATCACTGAGTGATTTGTAGTTTGTAACCGAGAGGTCTGTCGAATTGAACCGCTTCTCACTGGATTTCTCACTCATTGTGATGAGATCGTGTTGGTTTAATACTAGTGTCCGCGACCGGGAGTAAACGCAACTCCTTTAAGCTTGCGTTCCGTTTTCCACTGGGCCGTGCTACGTAGTTCAAAGTAAACCAGTGAAACAACTGAAAACCGTGTTATTTTTTCTCTATTTGTTGTTACTGACCGAGAAACCGCTTCAGATGATTCAGTGACAGCGGTCCGAACGAATCCGAATCGTTTCAGACCGTTATGCAAGTGCGTTTGGCCAATTCATGGAAAGGAAATCGAACCAAAAGAATGATTAATTCACCAATGATTGGTATCGCTGGTTTAGTAGACATGAATACGGGACACGCATAATAACTGCTGAAATTTTCTAACTGAAAACCTTTCTCAGGTCAGTCAGAGCGCTCATGGTACGGTCAGTGGGTCTCATTCATGAAACATTCGTAAATATACGAGTAAATATGAGAGTGATTTGCGCGTAAAGAGACCTTCCCGAAAACTCATCTCCTGATTCACAAATACTTCGTAAACGTCAGATGTGATAGTGAAATGTGTGCGTGTTAATAAATTCCAATCAGTCGTAAATGGGACGTGCGTGAACGCTCATTCTCAATTACCATAAATCCCGCCCTTTAAATCCGACTGACAAACTATATATGGGCATCATGTTATGACACCAAATGAAGGATTTCAACATGTCTTCTCAAAAACGAATGAAAGAACGATTTCTGCATCTGAGAAATTTAAGTTTTATTATCAGAAGTTCATTCAAAACACCACATTTTATTTTCAAGCATATTCTACTTAGTGGCGTATCAGGTCCTAAAAAAAAGGAAGCTTGGCAGCATTACAGATGCAGTTAATGGAGTTTCATCTGTTGATCAAACAGTCCCAGAAGTAAAAAGAAAAACCGTATGTAATTACTATATAATACTTTTTCAAAATGCTGTGTAAATATGTACCCGATTAAGGTGAAATTAAAATGCAGCCTTAGTTATTAATGAGCAAAACATTCGGGTGTTAAACTAACTCTTTACGCGTGGCTGGGAGCAGGTGTAGATTTCTTTCGTACCAACTAACATTTGGAAAATACGAACATTTTAATGAATCCGAAAATTTACGCCAGAACCACTTGACACACGATTTACACAAATTCGTTCTGCTCGTGTTTCATGAATGAGACCCAGTGCGTATAGCCGTACAGCTGCAGGTGCCACTGTGGCCACGCGCATATCAAGCCAAATTTAGCGGCACCGCCAGGAGGAGGAGGGAGGTTGGGGTGCCCTCGGGCCGGATCTGGCCTTTTGAATTGGCCTGGGCTGGCAATTGAATAGCCCTGCTGTATAGTATATATCGCCATACACAAGTATACTGTATGCATGTGGATGAAGTTGGACATGCTTGTATATTCAACGTTATATAAAGAGGTAGAAGATGTTTCATTTTGCAACAAAATAAAAATAATCAAGCAGTTGAAGTTTGCTATATAATATATCACTTAATGCAAGTGTAATGCATGTATGTGAAAAAAGTTGGATGTAATATATCCAACTTTATAGGTAGCAAATCTCAGCAGCATAGTTTATCTCATTCCATAGAACTGTGCAATAATATGTTTTTCAGTGTAAATTGATATTGCTATGTTTGAATACATATGTATGTATGCAGATAAAGTAGGATGTAATAAATATCCTACTTTTAATATCGCAGAGTGGTAATATAGTTTATATTTTTTGACGGTATAACAATCAAGCAGTTGAGTTTTGCAATTACTACATGCCACTTAACGTGAGTGTACTGTACGTATCCTGTCAAGGTTGGATATTCTGACTTTAGTTTTATAAATCGTTCATTTTTTATCTGGTGATATTAAGAATTATGAAACCAGTGAGGTTTTTTTTTCTTTCAATTTATAACAGTTTGGCTAATTGACAAGCCGCCATGGGTAAATGATGCATGTAAATGACGGGGTTCAAAATTTCGATCAAATGGCCCACACTAAATCAGTTTAGTGGAGGCATTAATTGAAAGCAGTCGTGGCATAAAACATTCCTGTGCTTTCTCTTCTCTTCATCCAGGGAACCTGTATCCGCTGAAGAGGCAGAGGATTATCAGGACATCATCAGCACCCCAATGGACTTCGCCTCCATGCAGGACAAGTTCAAATCCTCTCAGTACCACAGCGCCAGCGATTTCCTCGAGGACATTAAGCTCATCTTCTCAAACGCAGAGGAGTACAACCAGCCCAACAGCAACGTCCTGACCTGCATGACACGCACAGAGCAGGCGTTCGTCGAGCTCCTGCAGAAGAGCCTCCCTGGGGTCGGATATCTGCGCCGGCGAACGCGCAAACGCCCCGCCACTCCCTCCGAAGAGGAGGACGACGAAGAAGAGGTGGAGGGAAGGAGGAAGATCCAGAACGGGAAGCAAAGAGCCACATCCAGACAGAAGGAAGATGACGAGGAAGTCTCGGGACGAAGGAAGGCCAGACAGAGCGGCAGACAACGGAACCAAGCTGACAGCGAAAGCGAGGATGATGACGATGATGAGGAGGTGGCTGTGAGAAGGAAGAGCAAGCGGTCGAGTCGGAAAGACTATCGAGAGCAGGAAAGCGACAATGAGAGGGACAGCAGGAGAGCTGGATCGAGACGGACACCACGAGGTGTGACGGAAGACAAGGACGAGGCCAGCAGCGACGAGGACTCGGGCGGCCAGCGACATTCCAAGAGGCTCAAGCGCTCATGAAGACCAGGGTGCTTTGTGTTCTTTGTATTCGTTTTCGTACCCCCTCCTTATTAATCCGAAGGCAAAACAGGCCACCCCGTACCCGCTGCATATCGGACAGAACCCTTTTTCACCCCGATGTAGATGTTTCTGTTTATTTTACTTTTTGGAAGTTTTTATGTTAATATTGGAGAAAACTGATTTATATTTGTAAGTTGATTAATAATGGTGACGCTTGTTTGTTTTTTTTCAACCTGAGGATTTGCATTGAAAATGAGATGTCATCTCTTTGAGCTCTTAAGACTTTTTTTTTTTTTCATTTGATATTTGACCTAAAAAAATTGAAAGTTAAAAAAAGAAACCCCCTACGTCCCCAAAAAATTGTAATCGCAAATACCACCAAGCCATGTCTCGTTTTGATGACTTAGGAGGTTCCTCTGCAGAAGCTGACCTGTAAATGTTATAAAAGTGGTCCAGAATGAAACTCGTAGATCCTTTTGCGTAGACCTTCATGCAGACTTTCAAATTAATTATCTGGTGACCGTCCAGAACTAGGCTCTTTCAATGAAACTGACCTTGTGTGTTTTCTGTGTCTCATGAGAGCTGTTTAATTGGCACTAAACCCCCATGGTGGTTTGACGTTGATCTAAAAGTCTTTATTTTTTGAGTGTGCCACCAATTGTTAATTTTCTTTAGTCATTTATTATTTTGGTTGTTTTACAATAAAAAAAAACTGTCATCCTTAAGTTTGGTTAAACAACTTTTTTTTTTCTAAAAGCAAGAGATCCTGATCCTGTTTATTAGCCTATTGGGATCTAATGATTCCTGGCATCATCTTATTCCCTGGAAACCAGTAGGTGGCACTCTACTACAGTGGTCTTCGAAAGAAAAGTTCCCCTTGGTGTTAAACTGACATTTGAATGTTATATTCCCCCTGAAAATCTTTGATTAACTGAACCTGAAATCAAGATGGTAAAAGCAGATGTGAATTTTGTTTCTGGAGACACTCAAGTGAGATTCTGGTATCTGATGGGCACAGATCAGTTCAGTGTCCACATATGAGTGTATAATCTATTCTTCAGAAGTACCATAATTCCTTTTTATATTACTATGTAAATAATGAGCTTTGACTATTTCGTTTCTTGATCATAGCCACGGAAGTTTAAAATAGGTATGTTTGTCCACAGCAGACGTGCTGCTCAGGGCTTTATTCTTGATTTTTTATTTTATTTAATTTCCCTCCACCCCAATTGGATTGGGCTCAATTTAATCTTTGGAAGCAAAGTCACTATCATAACCTACTTGTTTTGGTTTGACGTCACTTGGTAACCTAACAGCATATCCATCGAATGGCCTGTTGTTTTCCAGATTCATGAGTAAAAAATTAACTGAAACCGTAGGATGTACCCCAAAGATTCTCGGGCTTGGAAAGCGAGTCGTCTCACTGGTGTAAATGCTTTCTTTCAGTTACTAGGTGGCTTTCAGGAGGTTCTAGTGGTGGTCAAAGCAGTTTTCATATGTATTTATAGGTCCCGGACCTGGTAGGGAAACTAAACTTTAAGGATGTCCTTATCCCTTTTTGCACCCACAGATTTCCTAAGACTTCCTTCAGTTTTCTGAAAGTATTTTCTTTTTTAAAGACCCCTTTAGCATCACTGCCAGTTGTAAAATCTTGTGTTAAACATAAGCAAGGGGCAGGGAGGGAGGGCCTGGTAGTTTGGGGATTTTTTTTTTTTTTGTTTTTTTTTTTGTGTGTAATTTCTTTACTTTTTAATAAAACATTGTACAATGTCCAAGATTTGTCATGGTTTCTAATACCCTCTGGTTTTTATCACCTGAGACCTACAAATACTGATATAACCTCATAGTTGGGCTGTTTCAAAACCTCTTGTTATTTGAGGCGTTTTGGTGCTTTCAACATGAAGGCTATTCCTGTTATGCTTTTGAAGATACCTCATTTTTTTCTGTGTTTTAAGTTAGCTTCCTGCATATTCTGTGACAACCAATCCCAGAATTCATTGCAGTTCACTCAAAGAAATTCAGCTAAAATGGAGTTGAGATAAAGGCTGTGTCTGAAATTGCATACTCGCATGAGTAGGTACTTATTTTGAGTAAGTACATTGCAAGCTCTATGAATGTTATCTGGATGTACTACATTCATTATGTTGTCATTATCGTGTGACCTACCTGTATCAGCGTCAGTTGCGTCTCTTCACTGCCATTCACAAATCCTCTCTCGTGGCCTCATGGGATAGTAAAGCGTCCATCCGATGCGCACTTGAAAATCTCGCCAGAAGTAGTAGGTCATCCGGGTAGTTTTTGCCTACTCTTTTATGAGTACTGTGAATTGCACACTTTTGTCACATACCCAATAAATTTCCCTCATCCACTTGACAAAGCTGAACATAAAGGTGGTGGGGATTTCCCCCGAGGGAAATGCTCATGGCAGTTTGCAAGTGTGTCTAAAAGGGGAGTTAAACGCAGCCCTGTTTATTTGATGTTGATTAGAACATGAGATGTGCCCGTTTAACTCAAAAGTGAAGGCAGATGAACTTGAGTTTGCAGGGGCAGAGTTTAAGTGGACTAAATGATTGGAGAAGTTTGGCATGCATCACCAGAGATTGTGCGAGTTATATTTTGATCCAAAATGTAGCTTTAAACGATTGTTAGAAAAATAATGGTAACACTTTACTTAAAGCCTTTATATAATTAGAAAAGTATTTGTAATGCATGTAGCCTAATGCACATTATATTACACTGAGCAAAATTAGAAACGCAACACTTGTTTTTGCCCCCATTTTTCATGAGCTAAGACCTAAGACTTTTTCGATGTACACAAAAGGCCTATTTCTCTCAAATATTGTTCACAAATCTGTCTAAATCTGTTAGTGAGCACTTCTCCTTTGCTGAGATAATCCATCCATTGTTCAGGTGTGGCATATCAAGATGCTGATTAGACAGCATGATTATTGCACAGGTGTGCCTTAGGCTGGCCACAATAAAAGGCCACTAAAATGTTTATAATTTTGTTCAGTGTAGATTGTTTGGTCTCATGAATAATTGTTACCAGTTATAGTACATGCTGCTTATCTATTCATTGTCACACTTTTAAAAAGTATAATGCATTACAACATGACAAACAACGGATTTCAGATATAACAAGGAATCTGCAAATATTAATCCATTTCAACTGGTTGCAATTTAGAGATGGCAAAATGCGCAATGCATTATGAATACTGTATTCATAATGCACGTTATCCTATGCGTTAAGTAGTTACCAAAATAACAGGAAGGGGTGAATAATTTGCCATAAGCTAACTTGCATATCCTCACCCTATTCAAAATGGGTTCGAAGTTAAATACTCAAGATATTGATAATTTTATTTTCAATATTTTAAAGTTTACCCAATATTGGATTTTTTTATCTTCAAGAATTTTGTGTCATTAGACTATTGAAATTAGGAGTGTGATTCAGTGTTTCAGTTCAGCTATAGCTTTAGATTTACTCTACGGATCATGGTGAAAGTGCACCAGTCATAATCTGGAGAGATTTAGTCTTTTACCCCATGAAAGACGTTTGTCTCAGCGGTTCCTGCACTGGCCCCCAGTGCTCCTCCTGTCCACGCGTAATGGGGCCCTGATCATGAAAGGGTGAGAGAGTAAAGAGAGGTCCGCCATTCACTCTTTAATTACACACACTGGTGTTTTTGTTGGATGTCTCGGGTGGCAGAAGGTAATTGCCCTTCCTCACATCGCCGCTCAGCCAGCCTGGCTCCAGACTTTCCACTGAGGACAGAGACTGGGCAAAAACCTGAAATAAATATTTGAAGCGCTTGGAAAAAGGACACTGGAGGAGAAAAGAGAATGGAGACAGATGCAGGCCTGTTAATTGAGTAAAGTGCATGTGTGAATGACAGAAGTAGGTGAGGCCATGTCGATGCATCCTCTAAAGTTCCTTATTGAATTATGTGTTGTGATGATGTTGGTCCTGCTTTATTCTGAACAGAGAAGCTGTAGAAACAGCTTTCATGTCATTTTTCAATATCCCAGCATGTATTTTGTAATATTCTGTTGGGCAGATCAAGGCTAAAATGCCACCAGTAATGACCATGGTGGACCTGGGGGTTTTTTTCAGGAGACTGTTTCATGTGTTGTTTGCTCCATAAGGTCGCTGGAGAATGTCACATCTTCTTTGAAATTGCGAGATTATCACTCTCTTGTCTTTCCTGCACTGGTCATCCTCTTTTGAAGATCAAACACGTTGTGGTGCTCATCTTTAAAGCTGAAAGAAATAAGCTTGAGCAATTGCAGTCTGAGAGCCCTTAATGTCTAAATGTTTACACACAAAACGGGCATTGAAAAGCACGTACCGCACTTCCCACATGTATACCAGTATTTATTAGGCTAATACCACTGGGATTTATCAAATTAACTTTGCACAGATCTGATGTATGTAGGGTTTAATGAATCTGTAAACTGCTTCTACAAAGGTTTATACACGAGACCCCTGGTGGGAATCATTTACATCCATAATACAGCACATTAATCTAGCGAAATGAATACCCATATAGCTTTGAAAACACGCAAGCAAGGCAGCACTGTATTTGAAATTCTCTTTTTTTCCTTTTTGAACATCTACTCTTCACTTAATGTGGTAGAATGTTTGTCCTTAGCCTGTAAAAATAATTTTTCAGTGTAATTTTTTTTTTTTTTTTTTTTTTTTGCGTACTGAATTGGGATTATTGTGGTCATAAAGCTTTTTTGCATTCCATGCACTTGATGGACATTCGCTGCACTTTTGTCCATAAGCGGTTGACTTTGCGACCCTGCATCCATTCCTATTTCAGAGTATTGCATTAAAATGTAAATCTCAAAAAAAAAAAATTTGCATTACTAATTACTTTCTAAATCCCATATCAACCTCGACCTGTTGAACAACTACACATGACACTGCTCTTATTATTCTTTCAAATAAATAATATAAAATTGCGTAAATTATTCTTGAACTGACCAAAGCATTTAAATGGTGAAGGTTACATTAAAAAATACACATTTTTGCATTCATTAGATGTTAAATTCAATTTTGATGTAAATGTTTTATATATCGTTCTATAGTCTATGCAGTATTTCATGCAATTACATCAGAAGTAACTAATTAAATTACATAAATTCCTTTTTGACTCATTTAATAAAAATTACAAAAGTGGATTGCAATGTTAAATCATCATATTGCTGACATGTGACATGCACAATGTAACATAATGAAGCCTGTAGACAACAATGTAGCGCAGTACTGTTTAATGTATTCACATATTTTATTTTATTTAAAGCAGACAGTAAACTATAGTAGCCTACACAATATTGTTGGCTAATATTTCCTTCTACACAGCCATAGCTATATGTTGTTTATATAATGGTAGTTAAGCAAAAGGAAGCCTGTCTTACATGGAAATGTTTGAATTGGGTTGGTTTCTGATGCAGAGCAGTATGCTGTTCTTACACCGTTTTAATAAAGATTGGATTGAGCATTGTGTGTATACGGCACAGTTAAGAGGGAATTAAAAATGAAGACATCAAAGTGTGTGACAATAGAGAGGAATCTCTACCCACACAAACACAAAGCAACTCAAGCGAGGCATTAAAGAAACGGGCAAAAGCAGCTGTATAGTAGGAGCTGCAGGAAAAAGGAGGATATTTCATTTGAATTGTAAGACTGTGTAACTGAGACCTTTTATTTCAGGAGTGG